CACAATCCGGTAAACTATAAAAAATAAAAATTTCGGTGAGCTTCTCTCCACATTCGCTCAAGGGCCGGTGGGCTTTTCTCAGCATCTACTGGTTTTGCGGTGAGCTTTTCTTCTGTGAGCATTTCTCCGGTGAGCTTTTCCCCGCCGCCTTTCAAATGCTGATCAAATCTTGTATCCAAGCCTAGACATCTCGCAGAACAAATTTCTGTCTAACCAGGTTCGAGTAGTGGACGGGTATGAATCACGCAGATGATGTGAATCTCACATAGCCGCTTTGCGGAGATTGACTCTGATGTTACATATATCCTCATCAACTTCTACAGATTTTGATGCATGCTATCAATATTGCGTAGTTACACCATTTCACAAATAATGCTCATATAAATATGCTTTACAAACAGGAAGTTATTCAGAAACCCAAGCAGTTCAAAATGTTTTATATTCCAAATGTTTAACGTCCTTTGATCTATATTCATACCTATTTCTTGTCGCAACTCCAGCTCGGCATGAGAGTCTCCACCAACAAAAGCAGTCACGGCCCACACAGTAAAGGATTGGTGTATTGACCTTGTTCTGAGATAAACATAATTAATCCATCAATTGAAATGTCATATCATGTTACATTCCTAGCAACATTTTGGGGATGCAGAACCGCATACTTTGTGGTGCCCCACCTTAAGACGCAAGAAAATGGAGTGTTTTAGGGAAAATATATGTGACTGGAAACTCTGGGGCGGCCCTTTTTCTGCAGATATAAGATAATAACTTACCATTTGCTACAAGGTGATTTCGTGGCTCCTTATGCTTTCTATCTGTGACGTCACAAGTAATATTACTGATTGCCAGGGACAATTTTGATATGGCATGTAAATAACTGTAGAAGTGTGTCGTCATTGCCTTCTTAACCCAACATTGTCAAGGCTAACAGTCTGATATTCTTCTTTTTTTCAATAATGAAAGTAGAATGGATCATACTCAAGACGTGGGAGAGCGCCTTTTGGCGACGTGCGCGATCAAAAGCGTCGCTGTGGTCGGCCTTCCACGATTGGCCGAATGCTGACTATGACGTCAGCAAAGGTTTTCTCATCGACGGAAATAAGAGGAATGGAAGAACTTCAATTTCAACGGTGTTGGTAGTGTGGCTTTAAGAGCGCAATGATTTCAAGCTTCCACCGTGCTCCTTACACACACCATCGAACTTGTTGCTCGAAAGGTAATGACGTCACGAAAGGTAACCATATGAGGGCGCCACTAAAACATCTCGCCGCTATTAGAGCCCGCGACACTAGAGCGCCGACGTTAAAGCGCGCGACACGAGGGCGCTGCGACAGTAGCGCGCTAGACACTAGAGCGCACGACAGGACAGCGCATGACTAGTTTAGCGCGCGACACGAGGGCGCACGACCAGTTGAGCGCGAGACACGAGAGTGCACCCCATTTGAGCGATCACCGCAAAATGTGCGATTTACCCGCGGCTCCACAGACAGAACAAAAGTGGGCGACTCATCGGATCGGAGCATTGGTGATTTTTGATTGATTTAACATGTCTTTAATGAAAATAGAAATAAAACGGGTACGACTCTTTCTAACCAATTGTTTAGTAACATCGGAGAGAAAAGGGGGCAGTCGAGTGGGGCATATAGGTATCGGGAAAGTTTGCAGTTGAGTGGAGCAGCGAGTCTAAGATTTCTTCACAGTGCTGCGGTGCGCCTCTCGGATACACTATAAATAGTTTACTTTTTGTTGTATCAGGTCTATTCTTCACAGGCATTTGGGCTCCGATCTATTTGGTGGCTATTTAGACGTCTGTCGCATAAGTTTAAATGGTATTCTGACGTCCATGTCCGCAATGGACGAAGCTCACCGTTAAAAAAGTATCAGTAAAAAACTCATTGAAGGAAAGCTCAACGCAACTTCATCGGATGCAGATCTTTCTAGTCTTTTGACGGATACAGAAAATCTTACCCTGCAAATCTGTGATATACAAAATCAAAGAACTAATGAAGCTAGGTGAGCTTGAAAGTTTTTTTCTGCGGAAAAACAGACTCCAGATATTCATCTTTTATTTATTAATATTATATATTTTTTTTTTTTGCTGTCAGCTGTTTCCAACGTTTCTTGGTTTGTCACACGCAAAAATTTCGTCGACGTATTTAGCAATGTCCTCGCTGATTTAAGCGGCATAACTCCCTGCCAATTTTACATAAAACACGCGATACCCGAACTAGTGGTTGGTCCGGTCGGGCCAATCGCGCTGGACTGGTTGTGCGCTCTTTTGACGGGCGCTCTAAGGTTCGCTGCGCTCTCGAGTCGCACGCGATAACGTCGCAAAGCTCTTGTGTCGCGCGCGCTAAAGTCGCCGCACTCTAGTGTCGCGCGCTCTATTGTCGCGGCGCTCTAGTGTCGCGCGCTCTAACGTCGTGGCGCTCTACTGTCGGCGCTCTTGTGTCGTGCGCTGTACTGTTGTGCAGCCGTCCAGACATCCCGAACTTAAACCTGCTGGACTATTACGTGTGAGGCGTGGTTGAAATGGAGATCGATGAGCAGGCTCACAGTACCAAAGACAAGCTGAAGGCTGTCATTGTGAATGTGACAGCCAACATCAACCAGACCCACCTCATTACGGATTCTAGGCACGTCCAATGGCGTACCAAAACTGTCATTGCTGATAATGGAAGTATTGATGAATGAACTTTAAGAGCCTGCATTCGGAGACCTATCTACCAGATTTGGTAAAAATGCATAAGAGCTTGAAGAAGATAAGTTAGTTTGGCTTGACCTCTGTTTTCGTTCTTAAATACTGACCGCACCCAGTCTTGAAGTTCAGCGGCCCGAGCGTAGTCGAGGAGTGACGCCAAGACCATATGTTTGTGTTTAGCATAGACTTGAGGGTGTGCCTATGCTCGTTGAATGTCAGGTCGCAATGGTGGGGGAGCTACTTCTGTGCCCGAAGCCTCTTACCTTCCAGGGCTGGGAAAGTCTAAAGTATAGGTGTTTCAGATCGGCAACTGGTCGAGAGTGGGTCTACATGCAATAAGAACAGTTACAGTCTCCTGGGCTATAGAGGAAGCGACCCAAACAGACCTTTCCGGAAAATCCCACAAGGCCTCACGTCGACGGCACATTGCACCGCACAGCGCAGGGAATCGTAGGGCCGTTCCGATGCATGCTCGAGCCGGCTCGTGCATTCCGTATATCTTGATAGCGTCGCAATTCTTTCTGTCTTACCATTGCAAGTACAGAATGCAAGGAAAACAAAGCGAGTACATCACAAAGCCGATATATACCTTGTTTTGTTATCCCACATCATTCTTTGCATCCTAAATTCGGAAAAGGATAAACCCACATGATTCGTCTCTTTTATTCATCGGTACTATTTCAAGTGCCGTACATCGATATTACCGAAGCGCGTTGAAGCGTGGAAAACACGATGGGAAGAACTGCGTATTTCTGAAATCAGGTTTTTTTTGCGGCGTGACGGCCGCTTTCGTTCAAATCCTTCGAAGCTGTAACGTTGCCCATCGGTTGAAACCAAACGAATTTGGATTGGCTTCCTCAAATATTAGGGAACGGAGTGTGTATGATTATATCTTCCGTAACGCAAGGAAACTCATACGTTATATAACGAGCTTGGGAAGCGATATTTATTAATCTGCATAATTTTAAGTTGTTCCATTCATATGTTGTCTTGAACTTTGTAATATAATACGAGTAGATATATTACAGACCTCGCAAGAAGTTAAATATCGGAAATATATTTTATCGAGTGGATTAATAAAGTCACACCGAGCAGATACGTTTTGATTTATATCTAAATAATGTATTCGTATATAATTTAAAAAAAACTGTGAAAGATTACTCCTTGTTCGATAACATCTAATAAGATATGCCCATTGCACCTGTTTTCTTATATGTCTAAGATAATTCTTGAAAGACCTACTGCACCCATTTGACCATTTTGCCCCGCTGTTGTGCTACACAATTGTTGTGAAACAGCTTCGAACTAACATCGGGTTTGTTGACAGCCGACTTTTAAATGCAATTATTCCCTTTGCGAATCCGAATTTGACACCTGACCCTTCCCTTATACACCAATATCGACATCTAACAAGTTTTTATTTATTAGGTTCAAATTGGTTTTGGGTTCTTTTCATATAGAGACGACTGTAAAACGAAGTTCACCAGAGCTCACATTGAACCCAAAATCCACGTAAGGCATACTTGGCCGCGTTGCAAAAACCGTCATTAGGCCAATGTAGTGAACGTTGTGGCGGTTCGCTCCCACAATGATGACGCAACACAATTTTCTATTTTGAAGTTTGCTTTCTAACATACAATATTACATGGGAATCTTATTGTCCAAATATTTAAAATAAAATTCTAGTAGATTAAACGTTTCGTCTAAATTATTTAGCTTGTCCCTAATACACTGAACAAGTTTATATCGTACTGATTTAATTTTGGTTTCTTTAATGTAAATCAATTGTATTTATTTAGTTATTATATTCTCCCTAAGAGGATTAAACACTCATCATCGACCCTGGCCATAGGTTTTGTACACGAAACATTAAACTCCTGCACAAACAAGTGCGTTTCGAGGCAACGAGAGGCTCTCATGGCATAGGAAACAATGTTGTTGCACTCCTTGAAATGCAGCGTGCAAAGGGAGTGTGAGTGAGGTGAACATTAGATCACTAAGCTTCACCTCGCTTTCGACAAAGCAATCTATCGCCCAACGCACCTCGAGAATCAATCAGGAATCACTTTGTTCGCACCATGTATTGATTAGTATGAAAAATGCAAAACAATTCACGACATTTGTTCGGCTTTGTGTATTCATTATGAAAAACGCAAGCAGAAGCAAAATCAAAATATAGATATAAGATGTACGAGCAACCACCATTCCACTTTGTTCGCTCGAATATAGAGTATAGCAATGTGTAGATATATTGCGCACTGAAATATGCTATATATTAAAATATATAAAACACGCTCAAGCAATTATGTTTTGTCCGCTCGTTAACTGCCCTGAATATTTTGCTTCCTTAGCGCGAAGGTTACCTCAAGACAAAACGCAATCTCTGAACAAACGTATCTGCCGTTGCGTTGGCGGAGCCGATGTTGACGAGCTGGTCTCTGTACTCGGGGAAGACGCTGAACTTCTGCAGAAGCGTAGCGATGTACAGGAACATCTCGACGATGGCCAAACTTTGACCTGGACAACTTCTCCTTCCTAGATAAAAGCAGAATAGGACCAGGAAATCATTAGCTGTATGCATGTTGTCAAACTTCAACGTAACGTAGTCAACTTGCAGCGTGACAAAAATTACAGAAACTTAATAACGCTGGTGCCGGCGAGCATAGTTTGCTAGGCGGTAGTTCGTGTTGAGCAGAAACTACCCTTTCTTAAAACCGTCTCACCAAAGATTTACGTCACGTGCCTAACGTGACGGGGTCAAAGTGACATTAATTCTCCTTTTTATTTAGCAGATAAGTTGTTGTGACGTGACACTTGCCTTAATAATTTAACGGGGAATCTGACGTGATGGTGTTTTGTGAAGGGTTTTTGTGTGTGGTTCTCCATGACGTTTCTGACGTCACGGAGCTAAAAATAGCGGCGAGAAACTGAAAGTCTGCGTCGTCCTCTGGGCCTAAAAAGCAGCGCCAAAAACCCCCAGAACGCGAATGATCGTGGGTTGTTCATCAAGATACCACATTATACGATGACACATGGTGGATCGTCGGCATTTAGACATTGATGTCTCGTTAAGGTGGACCCAGTTAATATCAATATACGCCTCTGTATAAACAAAGTTTTTGGGACGAATTAGAAATATCTATTTTGGTCTCTTAATTATGAACAACACAGTTTATTCGTAACTTTTATTTTATTTTTTATTTTTCGGGGGGGGGGGGGGGGTGGAGGGCGGAGATGTTTATAGGCACCGCACATTTTAAAGGCTACAACCCCACTTTTATAATATTGCAGGTGAATATATATATATATATATATATATATATATATATATATATATATATGATAGATGTTAATATTTTTAATTTATTATGATGAAATAATGCAGTTAAATATATAGAGGGCCTTTTTTGTATTTACAGCTTCTTTCCTAAGAACTATGAAAGTCACTCTTGTGAGGTTTGTGCACTTGAGTTAGACGGCCGGGAGTATAAAAAATAGGATATACTCACAACAAATTAAATAATTAACGGAAATAAGAGGATAATTCTTTTCTAAAGCAATAAGCTAATGGTTCTATCTAGAAACTTGCTTGGTGTCAACAAAAACTACTAAATCAACAGACTTTAGGAAGGCTTGAATCGCGTGCAAAGCGCGATGGTTCACTAAAGTTTCTAGTGTAGCAGGCGCAAGGCTGGCGGTGCAAAAACGAGAATGAAAATCTTATACGTTCTTTATTACGTAATCGTAACTACACAATTGTAAAAAAACGGGACTCTTCAAATATCAATTCACCAATTACACAAACATATGCCGCGACTTTATAAGTTGTTTCCGTCAGTTGCATTTTGCGATCTTTCGTCCGTTATTTTAATGTAGCTATTGTTTTAACCATGATTCTATCATCAATAGCTTGACTTTGTTGAATCATTCCGAACTATGGAAGATGGTATCTCCCAAATCTACTTACCAACTCCGAATGGTATAAAGGCATCCACCTTCTTCTCGAGTTTATCGCCGTCATTCGTCAGAAATCTTGTTGGGTCAAAATCATCCGGATTGCTCCAGTACGCCGGGTTTCTGAGCACCGCCCTCACATTTATCAAGGCTATACTGCCTTTCGGAATGAAGTAGTCGCCAATAATTGTGTCTTCTGGTACACTGCAGAGTAAAAACAGAATAATCCTCAGTAATTTAAGAAAACCTGTACTACGGGTTCCGCGCCGAATTCAACTTTTGTAAAATGGATTTGGTGGCCTGAGAAAAAATTTTTTTTTCTTGAAAATAATTGTTTTTAATCATTCCGACGCAGGGCTTGTTCAAAACACTGGGATGAAACCATTTAAAAGCCTTTCAATATTTCTTTAAATGTTCTATGTTGATATTTGGCCACAACATAAAATTACGGTTATACAGTATATAATATCTCGAACGAAAAGGATATTTGTGCGGCATTAGCGTTCCGCTTCATATAGATTTCTCTGCATCCAGACATATTTTAAGATCACTCAGATTATATCGTTTGTAGTAAATACAGTGGCAAACAGCACTTGTAACACTTCCGAGTAATAGAGGAGTAAAATACCTTCTAATAATAAGATATAACATGTCTAACAAACTGTGTCTATTTAGTTAAATCACAAATTATAAATAGCCTTGGAGATATTTCTATAGGATAAAGCATGTATCCGTCTAGTAAAACTGACTTTTTGAAGTGTGTAAATTTTTGTATTTTTATGCACCCCTCATGTGTACAAACAAATCGGAGCCCCCCCTAGCGGAACTCCGCCGGCGCCGCGAAAAAATCAAAAGTCAAATTTGGGGGTTTTACGTGCCAAACCAACGACGGGCATCTGGCACGCCCCAGCCGAGGACTGAGGATTAATTTCGACCACCTGGGGACCTTTTGACGTGCAACCGAAAGCTCGGTTACACGGCGCCTTCTCCGCAATAAGCCTCCGTCAGATTGCGGGCACCTCGGCCGGGATTCGAACCCGCCACGCCGGCGTCGCGGACACGCGATGGTGTCGGCAAGAAGCGCCTCGTCCCGCATCAACAAACCATTTCAATGAGATGATGTTGGCCTCGGTGTCAGTCCCCGTGCTCTTTTTTTGTGTCGGAATTGTTGATTCTACGTCTTCGTAGCAATGTCTTACTGCTCTAGTGGTCTGAACGAAATTAGCGAGGCTCGTTACGCAGCAAAACCCAGTGTAAATAATGTGGAGTGCAGCGACTCATTCCGCATGAATGCCGCAAAATGGACGCCGAAGCCTGATTCACATGATTAGATTCTGCTCCCTATTTTTAGTCGAAACGTCACTCGGGCTGCAAAAACATGAATCGCAGCTGCGATGCTCGACGTGGATACTGAAAATCGCCAGCAGGAACGGACCAATTGACCCCGTAAGTGATGACGTCACAACATGGCGTCTGGGTCCAAACAAACCGTTGCTAGGGACGTATTCCACTCCGATTTGCTTTGGTAGCAGACGACACGATAGATTTGCTGGCCTCTGTTGCAGCGGGCGTCTTCATTGAATTGCGTCGGTAAACGAGCAACATAAGCAAGTGCATCGCTATGGCCGCAAAGGCCTCCGCAATGTGCGTTTTTTTTTGTTTTTTTTCTTTTCTGAGAAGAATTTAGCTTAGTTTAGAGGGGCGAAAATTCCGAAATATCAAACCACGTCATGCAGATCAGTTACGACGATGACTGAAGTGCATTACCGGCGTAGTGCAGGCCAGCATGAGAAACAAACCGTACGCCGTCGAGGTAAGTCGTTTGTTATAATTATTATTGAGGTTGTCAGGCTATTAAAATATTGCATGTCTATCGCAATTTCCCTTTTCCTTCTTTTTTTTTTTTTGGCATACATTAAATTTAGTAAATGGGCTTTTTCGGTGAAGGTCTCCATCGAACCCGCGATGAGAGTACAAGCTGTAATAAACTCACCTCATGTTTTTTTATCCAGTGTTTTGGGGTTTTGCGGAAATCTAAAGAAGCTGCAGGAATCTTTCTCCACTCGATGGTTACAACCAGGTACGAAGAACCCCCCCTACTCCCCCCCCCAGCGCGAGTCCACAAACAAAATTTGGAATCTCTACCGATCGCCTGAAGTGCTTTTCTCACAAGTGCAATGCGATCTTTTAGCAGACGATCATCTCGATCGACGCCTGGACTTTCGATATACCATATTTTGCATCGCACCCCACTATGAATTCTTATAAGTGTCTGAAACTCATTATATTTCAAACAAATGCAATATCAGAATATCGTCTTTATTCACCCGATTCAGACGCCGGCGCCGGCTTGGCCGGTGGGCGTGTGGCGGGCGGCATTCTTCTTGCATTCGTCGTCTGCTGCAGGCATCTTTACGACCGGAAGTTGCAGTCGTAAATATTTCAGAAACAAGCAATTACCGGCACACTTCTGTCGAAACATATATGACATTCAAGCTTTCTATATTTGGGATCTTTAGAAGTTTAAATCCTACTCCTGATTTTTGAACGGTCGGGTTTTCGTAGCGAAACCTAGCCACATGTATTTGTCCATAACAACGACCCTAGCAACGGTTTGTTTGGACCCATGACGTCACACTTACGGAGTCAATTGACTCAGGCATAACAAATCACTGGGGGCCAGTGTTTATAATGATCAAAGTCCCTGTGGTGAACTGTGATCCGACCTTTCACCGACGTGAAGGAAAGAAGGAGACAGGGGGGCTATGTTGCACGTTTTGGACTCCCAGGAAATTAGGGAAAAGGAAGTTATGTCAACAACGCTCTTAGGGTGTTGATCGGTGGAGTCGCTGATGACGCGTTGCGTGGTGCTGCTAAGAAACGTTCATTCACACCTACGTAACTTCCTTGTCCCTAGTCTCCTGGGAGTCCAAAACGTGCAACATAGCCCCCCAGGGTTCGGAAAGAAAAGAAGCACGAGACAACTAGGAAGAGAAGAAGAGGTGGTTGGAAAAACGAGGACGGAAAGCTGACTGGGACTGGGACTGGGACAACGATATGGTGGAGATGTTTCCCTGGGAGCCATCGACGCAAACTGACAAGACTGGGCGCAACTGCGAGGGAAAACTGGGCCGTATCGTGAAGACGATGTTGCGTTGTCTTGAACGACTCCCAGCGGCGGCTGAACCGAACCATGAAAGACATCTCCAGCACGTCGTTGCCCTCCAGCACGTCGTTGCTACGACGTCACCGCCGTCGCTTTCAGGTGAAGTGAAGCGGAGTATTTCACCCTGACCTCCACTAGCTTATTTGACTCGAGACTCGCATTTATTATTCAGCATCACATCAAATAGCCGTTTTATGACTAGACTACTGGAATTGTGTATCCCGTAACGTATTTCATGGTTTTCTTTGGATTCGTTTCGCTATTGTTTTTCAATGCAACTACTAAAACTCACACACAAGCAGTACTTGCCTCGTCAATAATTTAATGTATCCGAAGAAAGCTTGACCACGAATATCGAACCTCCTCACAGTGTCCTTACGTCTACTGTTTACACAGAGCCTGCTTACCCCAAGCAACCTTGTTTGGTCTACGGGCCAGTGTTGTTGAAACGAACAGCAACAGTTTTAACTAGGAGACGAATTTCGAAGAGAAGACGACAGTTTGAAAGTTCAGACGGCTGTTTGAAGAAGTAAATAACTGAACATGTTCCGCGGGTGGTCCAGACACATTGACGCTTCTCTCGCTCTCATGTTAGAGCAAAAAAAAAAAAAATCCAACGACCAGAAGTATCGTCAACTTCAACCCAAAGCGCTTTTCGCACATGCAATCGTAGTTCCACGGTATTTGGTTTTCCCTTTTTACGGCACTTATCCACGTTCTCGGCCAAACCGAACAGACAGAAAACACATGAAAACTGAGCCGGCTTGCTAGAACAACGTCTCACCTGAGACTGGTTGAAAGAAAGCACTACAAAGGCTGAAAAGTGCGAGCGTCCTGGGACGCGGTTTGAGTCCCGTTCAGCTGGTGCGCTGGCTTTGGCTGTGCTTCCCCCCCCCCCCCTTCTCAGCTGTGACGCTGTTTCTAGCAAGACGGCCCAAGTTTTCACACATCCTCGTCTCCTTTGGCACAGCCCCAGTTACGGCGTTTTGACTAGAAGGTAGATTTAACTCTCGTGTCTTCCAAAACAACATAGGAATGCCCGTCCCGTATAGGGATTTCCGCCCGCACCCCCAGACTTGGAGTGCGCCCGAAGCACTCCCGGCGCTACGTGACATATCAAAATTAAGTTGGGGTATACACATCAGCAATTCCATTAAGGTTTTTTAGAGCGCAGCTCTCAAGCGCCTGTTTCCGCGTATAACGGCGTTGGCTTCGGCGTCAGCGTAACCACGCGCGTTGCGTTATGGGACGTCACAGGCCTATACACCAATAGAGTTCCCCGTTAAGTTTAGCGAAAAAACTGAATAGGTGTTTAGGTCTGTGACATCCCTTAATGCAACACTGCGCACTTAGTTTCCCTGTTAAAGTTAGCAGTAAAACTGATGTCACATGACCTCAACACCAATTAAGTTTGCCCTCTAAATTTAGCGGGAAATCGAATTGATGTTAAGGTCACATGACGTCAATTTACCCCTAAATCTAGCGGAAAAACTGTATGTGATGATAGGTGACGTGACGCGAATTCATGAGACGTCATTTTCCCCGCTTAATTTAGCGGGGAGATTGAATTGGTGTTGAGGTCACGTGGCGTCAATTTTCCAGCTATATTTAGCGAGGAAATTGTGGGAGGAAGGGGGGGTACGGAGGCGGAGGAAAAAAGGAGAAGCAAGAGAGGAGGGCAGAGGAGGAGGGGGGAAGGTAAGAAGGAGGAGAGAAGGAGGAAAGGAGGAGGGGTGGAGGAGAGGGTACGGAGGAGGAGGGGCATACCGTCCCCTTCATACCTCCCCTCCTCCTCTTCAAGAGCTGCGCTCTAATTTCGCGTTACAGAAATTTGTGAACGTCTTTCATTTTTTAAACCTTATTTTTTGCTTCCATAGTGTTCTATTATAAATCTAAGATATCTTGTATCAAGGTTTGCTGCTCTGCAGACAGTGCGAGTACTCCCTGAAAATATGCATGAAAAGATGACCACTATGCTATGTTTACAAAATTTAGAGCCTGCTAAATTTAAAAAAAAGCAGAATTAGATGTCTAGCACATAAAAGTCAAAATGTTTCTAGATGTTAATGGTAACAATAGTAAGCAATGCTACAATAACAGAGCTGTCGTTCCCACTTGAGTTCAATTGCGAAGATTAACTTTTCCGAGCAACAAGTCAAACACTAAACACAAATATCAGAAAATATTTAAGTCCCTAAGAATCCTTTATAGAATCTTGTTGTATATATGCATGGCCTAAAAGCAAAAAAAAAAAAAAGCAATGTTGATTGTGCAGGCTAGCTGGTGTAATTTCAGCACATTTGTAAACCCGAGACTGGAGATAGGGCAGCCTGTGTTTTCATCCCTTGTCCCTATCCCCAATTTCGGGTTTACAACTACACTCAGAGAGATTAATTTGATGTACGGAACATGAAATTCATTTGTCATGCTGTATGTGCTGTGTCAACAGCGACTGAAAATATTTTTTAAAGACAACATAAAATTAAAGGGAGGATCGTTTTTAGAAATAATTGCTTTCGACCTCGGCGAGTTTCAGAGTTCAGATAAAAGGTGATAATTAAGAACTTAACCACCTAAATTTAACTAACTGACTTTGCGTTTAATGGTCTCATATGGCACATTTCAGTACAAAATTTGGTGTGTTACACTTTAGCTTTATCTCGAATGGAACAATATTACTGGCCGCGGCAGGGCCAAGAAGCATGCTTTTGGTGTAAAACTCGTACAACTAATAGGCGCAGGAGAAAATCAGCCATCTTCCTTTACTCCTTACCTCTAACTTTTTATTTTTCACGTTCCGTCAAATGAAAAGCACTGCAAAAGAGCCAAACCACGCAGAGGATCTTGTTATACCGCCGTCTCCTTCCACAGAATAAAGTATAGTTTCAGTGGTCACCTTTACCATGGCAACGAAGTCTCTGGTGAATGAACGCGCACGAGAACGACCGGTTTAAAGTCAGCATCAGCTGACGCAATTTTCCGAATACCGTCTACTAAAGTCAACGCGGCAACCGCCAGGGTTAGGAGTGCCGTAATATTAGTGTTGAGGACTACCGACGACGACGATGACGGAGTGACCAGTCAACGACGAAAACGGCGACTGGGGAACATGATGGAGAATTTTAACGCAATAAAATTAAAAAGTTGGCGTCGCAAAAAAAAAAAAGCAACAAAAAAACCAGCGTTGGTGGCGTTTGCTAAAGTATAATATCGGTTGACACTCTCATGACATGAAAGCCACATGACCTCTGCGTGGGAATTTCAAACCCACAACGCTCACGTTAAACGTGGCGACACGCGTTGAGTGAAAGTGACTAAGACATAACATGTAATGCGAATTAAAAGTCGACGACTCATGTCTCAAATGATTTCACTTTATAAAGTAATTGATTTGCCTTAAAGGAAAACATGTAAGCATTCAGGCGGGATTTGAACCCACGACGCTCCGGTTAAGAGTCACAAACGCTACTCACTAGGTCGCGTAAGGCACGCTTGCTCGGCATTCGAACCGGCGGGAGTTCATATGTTCATATCCATGCCCGTGAAACAGAAGCTAGACGACAGTAGCGCAGGACGACCCGGAGATGCGATAGCGTCTCCGGATCTGGGAGCGTACTCGCGTCTCCGACCATGAGAAGCCAAAGAGAAGGCAATGCTAATGGGGCCCGATAACTCTATCGCTTTCCACTCTTAAAGGCGAAGCTCAAGCGTTTTCTAAGTTTTTGTGACGTGGTATTATAATTTTAAATGCTGCTGCATGCTCTACTTCAACTGGAGACTTCATTTCACCTTTTGAAATTATTTTCTCCAGATGTTCTAACAAAGATAAAGATATACACCCCTCATTTTGGCTAAGGTACATTAGCTGATTGCGCAATGCTATAATTGAGAAGAAAAAACAAGTACCTTCTGGAGCACCCGATGGTTCCTACCGAGATCCATCGCAATGCCTCTTTCAAGCTGGCCAAGGTGAAGGGCATCTCCTTGCGGTCCTCCCAAGCAGGTGGTCGGTGACGACCGACGACGTCATCGATTTCCTTCTGAATCTTGAACTGCACCGAGTTCGGATTATGGGCACAAATGTGAAGAACCCAGGAGATTCTCATAGAAAGTGGACCCGTGCCGGACAGAAGGAATTCCGCGGTATGTTCCTGTAGTTTTTCTTCTGTGCACGGAAGAGAAATTATGAAACTTCTTTAATACTTAGGTAGTCCGCGATATAGAATGTCCGAGTGCTGACTACAATCAGAACAAGCTAAAAGATTGTCATGTTGAAAACATATCCAACCAAATGCTATTGCACTTCTGAGTGGCAACTTAATAATTAGGATGATAACTCAGATGCAGACAGTCAAGGAGTGTTTGTCAACTGCTTGCTGTTGAAGTTGTGCTTTTTTCATTATTGTCGCGCATGTGTTAAAAGACACTGACACCCCCCTCCCCTTTCCCCCAAACATTTATTTTTCTTTTCTGCCCGGTGATTTAATATGGAGTCAGAAGTCTACCTAATCAATATTTTGCTAGAGTCACATATAGTTTTGAAATCAAAACCGAAACACGAGCACTGAGTAAGGATACGACATGTCGACTAGAGAGGAGGCAGAAAAATAGAGTAGGAGAGAGTTGCCGAAAGTTACGCAACTAAAACCGAGCGCATTCTTTTTTTCTTTTTATTTGCTTTTTTGATTGTGCGAAGCAGACAACAGTTATAACATTGTTATGGTCAAGCACACGAGGGAAAACTCCTCGTCCGCAGTAATGCAGCCAGACGGCTGAAAATCAGAAAGAGTGCTGCCGATTCCTTTTTACAAAGGCACTCGCCAGGCTCGAAGTCGGGCAGCACCACGATTTGGCCACATTCGCACCTGGTAAAGAAATCGTACGCATGGATATTCAGCAGCAAGTACGCACTTCGTGCTTGACATTCGCGCGTTTTAGCTCGTAAGACGAACGATGTCTTCAGCCAAGAGAAGGGACGACGACTAGGCGATGTCTCCGTGCCAATCAGCTTTGATGTTGGGCATGTCGTACGGAATAAAGCATAATTGTTTTCGTCGGTTAAAAAAAAAATATTTTGAAGCTAGATGGATTCGCTGGTACCGCTAACGTCAGTTCTGAAGTAGAGATTCCAGGCCCGTCGTCCGCTACCTTCGCGTAGCCCGCTTCGTCCAGCCGTCCAGGCCGCGACTCCCGCACTACCCCTACGATCCGGCGATACGATGCCGTGTTGAGAATTTCGAAGTGCATGTGTTTCAGGTGTCCGCAACTTTTTTTCTTCCATTCAACGTATTTGAAACTTTTTAGAAGCCGCAAAAATCGGTTTTATATATATATATAGGGTGTTTCAGAGAACTCAGGCTAAATCGCTCCTGCGAAACCTCTGCTGTGCTGTCATTGCGCGACGCAGCAGAGGCTGGTTGCACTATCTCTCCAAGGGGCGCGGTGCCGCCCGGGCCGAGATGCGCTCCGATAGGAAACCGAAACTTAAAAACCCGGCAAATTTGTGCGATTTTTTAGAAAGCCGTAAAATGATGCGCGTGCCTTCTATCGTTCTGAAATTTGTTCATTTACTGTTTTTCGACGATGCTGAGCAATTTTCTAATTTAAACCGTGCCCTTAAACACAATATTAAAACATTAATTCGCAAAAATAATTAACAACTTAATTATGCCGGACTTTCATAATTTTTCTAAGTGGGTCCCTGGCCCGGGGCCAAAACGACACAAGCCTTTTTTGCTGCTATGAGTAGTTCTCCCTAGAGCGATTTGGCCTGAGTTCTCTGAAACACCCTGTATATATATAAGTGAGGTAAGTTAAATATAAAAAAACAATAAACCGGGAAAAGTGAATAAGTCAAAGATGCGTACTGTCGGAGTTACTAATTCGAAGTTTATTACGACGTTTAGTGCGGGGACCGCTCTTCATCACGTTTGATGTTATTAATATTGAGTGTACGCCTTGGATGACCCATGACTTTGATTAGTTTTGGTGGTTGTCTCTGAACCGCATGGAACCACGGAGAAGGCAGTGAGCGCAACTCAAACCGGCCAGTTCTCGGTCGTTGGTTTTTGGTAGGAAAACAAAAACAAATTCTGAGCCGCAAATCGTGTTTTTGGTAGCTGGGCTCTCGTACGTTGTGTACGCATTAAAACCTTGTAGTGCATATATATTCCCCGTGAGTGTCCCTTTAAATATCAAAATAAATAATATAGAGCCCGAAAGAAACTGCATAGCGCACCACACTCGACGGTATTGCCACTTAGCATTATTTGTCATGACACTCATTGCCCATGAACGCAAATAATAATATTCGCCAATGGGGATTGTTTGCGAGCGGAATCCCAGTCACGCAGTGCTTGTATTCAATAGGTAAGCAGGATTCGGGTCTCCTGTTTGGCCACTGCAGATGCATCACAGTTAAAAAGGCACAATTATTTTAGTGTTGAAAATATCTGCAGCTTGAATTGTTTACATTCTTTACCTTGGCACAAGCGAAAGCAATCGCGCTATTTTCCCCAAAATACCGCAATTTTGATGCATTTCTGCCATAGAAAAAAAAAAACGCAATATTTCCCGATCTGCGGCCATATGTCATATATGAATCACGATGTCACGTTGTTGGGCGTGGCTAAGGTTTCGTTGCGCCATGTCGCGAAAATCAACTAAACCATTGCTCTCTTCGCAGTTACTTCTGCGTCCGGACCGTCTACTGTCACGATCACTCGACGTGATCTTCGGCGATGCTAAGCGCTTGAGAAATCCACAATCGCGGAGGGAGCGCTGCGGTCCCGGGAGATACAACACAACAGAAAACCACCTGGTATCCCCTGTGACGTCACTGAAAGGGCCGTGCGAGAGTTCAGGGACACCAGATACTTAAATATGTCTCACTAATCATAAAACTAGCGCACGCAAAAAAAAAAAAAGCTTTTTGTTTTATTATATTGATGACTTAGGCCGGTTCGCGTATTAATTCGTCTAAAGTTTGAAAATCGCTGCAGCGAGCGGGTTTTCGAAGGGCACACGAAAATAAACATTCAAAAACTGAAAAATACGCAGAGCGTGCATACAAGCTGGTGAAAAGTTGACATACCCTTACTTGAGGCAGGGAAGGAAAAGGCGGACACGTAAAAGGGAAGGAAAACACACGACGTCTTCGGATACGTTGTGTGTTGTCGCTCATCTTCATTTGACTGTCTTTTTCTTCCTTCTCTCAGATTAAGCTGTGTTAAGAAAATATTGGCTGATATATTTTAAAAAATTTCATATCGAAATTCAAGCTTTGTTGCTTCTGCCCTCATGTTCTAGAATTTTTTTTTTTTTTTGACCGACCAAACGGTATGCGTTTAGTAAAATTTTAAAACATGGTTCCTTTTACAAGGGAGTGACCACCGGATGAGAAAAATGACTTTCACAGTTAGTCATTTTAGCCGTCCGGTGGTCAATCGCTTCTTCTTGCTTGCTTTTTTTTTCTTTTTTTTTTTATTATTATGCGAATTTTATAACCATTTGCGACAACCTACCGCTGAAGGGAGAGGTCGGGTCAGCATGATGTTCTCTCATCTTTTGCAAGTAGCCATCGATGAAGTCTCGATTCAAGTCTGGATTCAGTGTATTCTTGTGTTCTGTGATTTTCTCTCTGAGAATAGCAAAAAAATATCAAACAAGATGGGTCAGATACAAAATCAAAATAAACCAACAAAAGGACCGATTGCCAACAAATCATATATAATTGGGCAGAAAAAGAATGGCGAGAAATTTGCTTTGCACTTCGGAATATAGCTACAAATATACCTTATTTTCAAACGTAGGTCGTTATATACGTCGATGAAAACAAATACAGATTTTATTTGTTATTAGAAAATTTGTATTGGCATTTTTGTACTGATATTTTTCTTGCGGGTTCAAAATTGTTTTTCGCTCAAATTACTAAGTTACAATTAGCTGGTTGTGTTCGTTGATTAAGTATATCTTTAGTTTAAATATGATATGTCATAACGTTGAATGTAACAAAAGTTGTCCTCATGAAAACATGGTAAACTATATTCAGAGGGCTACGTTTTTCTAAATATGTTTAAGACTAAAAGCACATTTTATTGCAATTTAAGTCGTTTACTATAGTTTAATAAACTATGTAAAATGTTTACTTCAGCAAAAAATATTCCAGCCAGTCAAAACGCATGAATACATGTTCTGTGACGATTGCTTAAATCTCAGTCTGTAGTAGGCAGTTATAAAGTAACATTCTTGATAACTAAAACAACAACAACAAAAGTTTTATTCGGGTCAACACTTTGCCCAGCATATATATTCCTTTAGAATATTTTTAATCATCGACACATTTGCTTACATGATTTGAAATAGAATATGTTTGCGTATTGTTCTTTTTTTGTTTTTTTTTTGTACTGGTATAAAATTGCGGATAACTGAAACTATCTCCCTACAGGTACAAAACGCTTCCAGTAAAACCTTGTTTTTTCTACCAAGATATTTTTAAAATAAAGTACCGGAAGCAAAAGGAAACGTTTTAGTACATTAAAAGCAGGAGTATGCTGTTAGGGGATTGGCTTTTTAAGGCTGTACTTTTTCCGAGGAGTCTCAGCGACTTACCTGACTAACTCTCGTATTGCGAGCCAAGATTCTCGCTTGCCTTCTGGTTTATTTAAGCGAAGACTGGCCATGACTCTACTGAGCCACTTCGGTTCAGTTTCTACCGGCAAGCCGAATTCGCCACCATCCAGGATATTTTTCAGGTGCTTGACTAAGCATTTGTGTGTTGTCTCGCCAGTTTCGAATCTGGATCCAAACATAACTGCAGCGATGATGTTGGACACGCTTTCTGTGATGTAATCTTTGACGTTGATCAGGCACCCCGCAGTGTTTGATAATTGACTAATCAGCTCCTGCAACTCTTCCTGAGTGATAAAAAATAAAAATAAAACGGAGATTGTTTTTGAATACCCGAAGTGCAACTTTAATAAAACTATAGCTGTTTCATGCTGCACCAGCTACAAGCGGCACACACTCACTCTTTTGGGAATTTAGGTTATAAAACGCAGATAATTTTTACGTTTCTTATTTAGAGCGTTAAATTATATTCGACTTAGGATTGATTTTTAACTGGGCGCACACCACTCGGCACAAGATATCAAATATGAAAACAAAAAGTTTATGTGTCAGTGAATGTAAACATGACGTGCAAGAAGGAAAATGTTTCGACACGGGTTTTAGAACGAAGGAAGTGAATGAACGCCGGCGTCCTGATGTTCAAAGCTTTATTGGGTCAGCTTTTGGAACCACGCCCTCTACTATCGACCAGCTTTAACAGCAGGTCGATAGTAGAGGGCGACATAAACATAAATGGTGCCAATCAATCACTAATCAATGTTACAGTTTACAGGAATGAGCTTACATGATGTTCCTATCACAAATATAAAAAATAAAGCACTAATAATGAAGCTCTATCAGAGCTATCAAACCATATTTATTTCTGTCATTGTTTCGAGCTTAACAGTCTGCGTGCTCCTGGTCATATGAATTGTAAAAGGAAAGACCAATATTTTTCGAGGGTCGGTTCAACAATCTATTGATCTATGGAACGACTGTTATGTGACATATGCAGATTAATACATTTTCGTATGATTGTAATTGTTAATTGCTGTTGTGGAACAAACACGTTTTCAGTAAGTAGGTTACAAAACGAGTCAACATGTAAGTATATAAACGGTTTCAAAACAGTAGGCACGATAGAAAATTAAGAATGTATATTCTAGAATTGTAGTCTTCGAGAAGTTACAAATTGTAAAACTCCAGGTGGTTCGGGTACACTTCTGAATTATTTTAAAGTGTAGTCTTGGCTCCTTAACACGAACGTACATTATGCAACTTGTAATGACGGCATTGTAAGAGTCTACCTCCAGAATTATCTTCCGTGGAATTTACGTTAGTGACTGACTCTGCGTTTATTGCTCTAATGAAATATGTAATTGTAAACCAATGGCTTACCATGATATGATCTTCGATGGAAGGCTTCCCGAAGCCCAAGTCCTCAAACACGGTCAAAAGAAAATTTCTATTTTGTTTCCACGCTTTTCCGTTGAACTTAGACGTGCCTGTAACGACTAAAATTCGCTTATGTATAAATAATTGTATTGCAGAAGCTTATTAAGCGCGTATGAAAATACATAAAATGCTTTGTCAGTTGTTTTTTTGCGTTAGCACGCTCGCTAACGAAGTATGTAATGAAACTTTCTCTAGTTGAGGCGGTTCATATTCTCTAATCACAAAGCTTTATGTTGTAGTGTGCACGATGTTGCAGGGTGCATGCCCTTAAAATTGCAGCGTTCCACTAATGGCCATTGTGCACATATAATGGGAACTTAATTGCCAATAGTAGCAGTGTGTCACATAAAACGAGGTAAGTTTCGGAGTTCCGAATTTTCACCAATCAGGTGGATAAATCACAAAGGTACAAACACCAATTTGTATTATCGGTTAACCCTTCTGTAATCAGGTAAACAATTCTCTGTCATAGGTTCTTTTTTTATTTAGCTTGCATGGTGTCCCTTAACATAAAAGAACGAAACTCTTGCAAATTACGTATTTAGAACACACATAAATGTTCAGTAGACTGCGCTATATGACTGAAAAAACGGTATCATCAGATGTATATATATATATATATATATATATTTGTAAAATAATGCTCCTAATCGCTCCAAGTCCACCATTCATTTTTTTCTGTCCCTATGGGTATACTGGGTGTTTCAAGGAGCGGCCAGGGTCTTTAAATCGACCGCAAAATTCGGTTTCTTAACCCATCGCGCTACGACTTTGTGCAGCGTTGCCCACAAACGGTGCCTTTTTTTTTCTTTTTTGCAAAATTTGCAAGGAGCGAGCTTACCTGAGGAAAAAGTAAAGAGAGAAAAAGGTTTACCTCCTATGGAAACGCAGCGAAGCCACCGGTCTCTAAACAATACCGCGCCGTTTCGCACGGGAGACAAGAGATGGCGCAAGCGGTCGCGTCGCCAACTGCCGCCAACGAACGTGCATACGTCGCCGAGATGCGGCGTCTTTAGAAGACGATCGTTTCGACTCGAAAGCGGCGCGCGTTCCGCAGGCGGCGACAGTCGCAGACCCAAACACAGGCGCGGTAACAACAAGGAACTGCAAAGCAGACGACATCAGTACCCCTCCAAAAAAACAATCAAAATACCGCGACAAATCATTTTTTTAATCGATTATGTGTCCATTCAATATGTTTTATTAGTAAGGATGATAAAATAATGCATTGGCAACTGATATCAGAAAATCTCGCGCCGCTTTTGAGTCGATAGGTCGTCTGCTAAAGACGCCGGCTCTCGGCGCTGTATGCTCGTTCGTTGGCGGCAGTTGGCGTTGCGAACGCTAGCGCCATTTCTTTTCTCCCATACGAAACGGCGCCGTATTGTTTGAAGACCGGTGGTTTCACTGCGTTTCTATTAGAGCTAAGCCTTTTTCTTTCTTTATTTTTTCCTCGGGTAAGTTCGCTCTTTGCAAATTTTACAAAAAGAGAAATGCACCATCTGTGGGCAACGTTGCACAAAGTCGTACCGCGATAGGTTAAGAAACCGAATTTTGCGGTCGATTTAAAGAGCCTGGCCGCTCCTTGAATCACCCAGTGTAACCCTAGGAACTTGTAATCTGCAACAGTGCAAGAACTAATGTATATACGACAGTGAAAATAAATCTGTGAGCGTAAATGTACTTATGCATAAAAACCACGTTATTAAATACGCATGATCATTAATCGCATGCTAAACATTACATCAGTAAAAATAGCTACCTCAAGCGTCTTGACTGGGTAGAAATAAGGGCTTGTATACTTATGAGGTCAGAGCAGCCGAATGCACGATATAAATATTATTAACATGATTAAATTGTCGAAACTTATTTGTATTTTTCATTAGGGCATGTACTTATTGAGTCAAAGGATTATGACGTAAGTTCGAAAAACATAAACCATCTCCCCTCTTCTACTACAAATTGATGATGGATTTGCTGGTCCATGGTCAATCATAAAATATTATGACATAGAAGAGACATTGTCTAGCCATAGGAAGGGTAAATTTTCAAAGGACGGGGTAAATACTGCATACGCGACACTGTAGATGCGGACAACAAGACAACAGAGTCCCGAGGACGTCGAAAATCTTTTTCGCGGACCCCTTCGGGTCGATCCATTCCTAGAGGGTACTCGAACGTTTGTCCGGAGTTATCTTGTCCCACAGAATAGCTTTTATTTGTGGGATAGCTTCTGGATCTTTGCAAAGCTTGCAGCTGGGGTTTAGAGGAACCCCGCAGGGCTGTATTGTTGGAAGTTGGCTTAGTTTGAAGATGTGTAGCAGACGGACGCCGCATTTGCATCTCTAGTAACGTACGCGGCGGAGAGTAAAGGCTCTGTTATACTCCGACCTAACGCGTGCGCGCGTGCGAGCGCGTCACAGCGACGTCACGTCGGCGAAAACCCGACGCTCTATAGACCTTTCCAGCGGCAGTCTCGAACGAAGCGATTTCCAGCGCGCGTCCCTGGTTTTGAGAGTGTACGCCAGTGTTGCCCGACTGCGCTGAGCTGTGGGTTTTCTCGTCAGTAGGCTGTGGAAGCCTGCGGAGGAGCAATTTTGAACGCTTGTGGCAGCAAAATCACCTCGCTTTATTTTTTGTTTTGTGTTCCATGCGAAGAGAATTTCTCGAAGTTTTTAAGAAAGCGTTGAACTATTCTTGGGAACAAAAACAAACAAATGAAAGCTATTTTCGCCGAGTCCGTGCGCGACAGAACAAATGCAACTGGGATGTTTGTTTCATTTTATGCGGATCTTTTTAACGGCACCATACACTCAGCCGTGTCAAACTACAAAGATATTGACTGCCTAACATATTTGACCACACCAGGGATAGCCTAACTGCATGGGTATTGCCCGCTCACTATATGAAATTCAATGAGTCTCATCAATCGAACAACATATATTGTACGTACCCCACGGTGCCGTGTCATCCGAACAGGATTTGAGAAAGGTCTCAAATAACACAGCATATCTAATATACACTGTCGACGATAGTCGCTTCACGACGATCGGACGGAATCCGGCTTGCCTTGGGGTACGTTTTGAAGAGTGGTGTTTTTTTACACAGCACTAAAGCAAGTAAACGAACGTGTCTATTCAGTTCCCATACCTTGGACCCTATCAGCTACTTCTCGCCAAGACCGGGAACATAGCCGGAAAGGCTTTTCGGAGATTATCTCAACGGAAATAATCCTCGAAGAACGTCGAACGGCCCGCGTCGGGGGCTGCTTGACGTTCGCTCTCTTCGTTCGTTTCCTGCGAAGGTCGAGCAGGCTACGAGCCCTGGTATTCCCTGGTTCTCACAGTGGAAGATAACAAAACACGCAAGCATCCTGAACAGGCAAATAGAGTGAACACTTTCAAGGAAAGCCGACGAACTTCGAACACACAATGCAGGTGGGGAGTCGCGCTAACCGGGTTTCCACAGCTCAGGCGGGTAACAGAAATTTTTGGCTGATAGGGGTCGCTCGACTCGCAAAATGGCAGCAGCCAGCGAGCTGTTTTTGCAAAGGTCTATACTCCGGCGTCGTAGCGTAACCGACGCGACCGGCGGCGTTCGACGCAGCTTGACCGCCTCAACGCCAAAATGGAGCATGCCGTATTCCGCGCCGGCGGCGCCGTCCGCGCCGGACCAGGATGCATCACGCGCTGGCTCCGTCAGCCCTCGCGGCGAATACGAGGAATAGCAGACGACGGCAGCACCACCCCGTGCGGCGTCATGTTTGAAGAATCGGACTCGGTCGTCGAGAAGCTGATCGAGGGAATTCGTCCTCACCCGGGTGTCTACGACTCGAGGAAGCTTGAGTACCGTAGACCGTGCGCTTGTCAAAGATGTACCGCATGTACATTTACCGCCTAAGCTTGCGGCGCAGGCGGTGCACCAACAGTGCAAGCCCGATTTTTCGTCGTGCAAGGTACGTCCACGCTATCGCTCGAACTCGGCGCTCGAGAAGCTCGAGAATTCTCGTCTGCTATTCGAAACGAAAAGGAACCGGAAACGGCGCACTCTCGCAGGAAACGCGCCCTCGTAGCCAGATTCTGCGCATGCGCCGCACTGGCGGCCCACCGACGCGCGCCGCGGAAGTCGCCAGGGCCGCCGGAGTCTAGAGGGGGCGAATTTTTGACGCGCGCGGCGTGACTGACGTGACGTAGCCGACTTCGGCCAGCGTTCGCTTGCGCGCGCGTTACGTCGGAGTATAACAGAGCCTTAACTGTGTCGCTTCTCGTGAAGTGGCCCAATCGGATGGGGTAGTCTCCGGCTGTCCACAACTCACTGAGGACAGGCGGCATTTAATATTTGCCGGTCCGAGCTCCCCTCTAGAATCGTAAGTTTCGGATGGGCTTTGCGAAGAAGCGGATGAACTAAAAGTACTCAACGTTTACTTGACTACACTGTCCGCAATCGTATTGCCCAGGAACTTCTCTTCATGTCCGGGCACATACCAGACCTTAATCTTCGCTTGATCTAGAACATTTAGCGTGTGCTTCAACTCGTGCGCCTCTTGCATCGTCGGGGTAACTTGCGTCGAGTACCTAATCAGCTCGTTCACGGCCCCCATAAAGTCCATGTGCATGATCAGTGTCTTGTCGGCCGGACGTAGTATCAGGAAGAGTTGCATCGCCAAACTTATTATTTTGACTCGGCGTAAGTAGCCGAGTTTGCTTCTTAAGCTAGTACACCTGCAGCCGTCTTTTTGAGGATTGCGTTCAGTCATTATCCTGCTTATAGCTGAGCTGCATCGCACGAGCACCGCGTGTCGTTGTACACCTCTCTGTCGGTATACGGAGCAATGCAGGTTTTATGAACTTATGTCAGCTCTTCTACTTCTTCCAAGTGCTGCTTGATTTGGCATTTTCTACGCTGCTTCTGGTTTTTTTCCGCATTTATCTTCGTAGAGGCTTGTTGTCCATGATGTTGACGTTGACAACGTGATATGGGTAACTCTTCCGGAACTACGATGCCATGCTAATTGGCCGTAGCTTGTCCTTTGTTGGTGTGTTGAGTTCTTACAAATGAGGCTTTCTCTGTTGCAGGACAATATCTTCCACTTCTAGGGGATACAGACATTTCTTCAGCTCCCTGCTCTTCGTGTATCTCGGCTGCCTAAGAATAGCTCTTCTCTCTTCGTTCGTGAGTGCCGGGAAAGGTTTCATGTCCCTTTTGACTAAATGGTAGAGCTCAGCACCGTTGGCAAAGTTGGTTATTAAGAACGCGCTAGCCAGTTTCTGTGCCGTTCACTCACCCGTTCCATTCGGCTTCTGGGATATTCGTATCATTCAATTTATCTCTTTCTTGAAGAACTTGCACGACTCCTGTACCCAGTCTCGAGTTGCCAAAGAGCCATGTCCGAAGTCGACTCCAAGTATCCTAACATATAGTTCACTTTTGATGGCGTCGCATGCAAACCTAAAGTCGAGGTCAAACTTGGTCTTGCCCGCTCTTTGAGATTCAAATGTTCATGAAAACATGGTACTATGAAGAGGGTGACGTTATGCACTTGGAAAGATATCAAACATTTTATTTAAGTCGCTGTGGTAGACCTGGTAGCGGTGTATGTATACAAGGAAAAAATAATATCGAGTGCGAACTCAAGGAACACTTTCCTGTGTTTTATGAGATACTATGCTAAAGACTATTAGATGTTGACTGTAAAATATAGACTTTTTATTTTTAGTCCTGCACTACCCACCAGTAGGTAATATTGCTCAATTTGCTGCATTTATCGAGTCCTTATTTTGCTCGGTAGGAGACGACTTCCTGAAATTAACTTTGGGGGAGATTTTAACATTGACATTTTAAACAATTCAAAAGAAAAGAGAAAGTATATTGTGTTGATTAAGTCTTTTGAATTGACTAATACCGTAAATTTTGCTACTTGTGTGATTTCAAACTCTAGCACAATTATACATCTGTTTCTCACAAACGGTGATGCCTCACTGCTACAAAGTGGTGTTGTAAGCTGCTCAATCAGTGATCATCTATTCGTATATTCAATTCAATTCCATTTTTTATTTCAAATCAAGTCACACAAATATATTTTTGTCCATCGGAATTTTCCCGAGGTAAACCAACATAATGCTTCTTCATTACATTTCAAGCCATGTCATTTACCACCTGAGAAAGTTTTAAGTGTCAAATCTAACATGCGAACTGGGATGCGGAATTCTCTACATGCTCTGTTGATGAGGCATATAGGACTGCTTTATCAAGATAATCACGACCATTTACAAGAACAATTTTAAATATAAGAAAGATCACGCCCCAAAAGGTTCTCGCAAACATTGGATAATGGCTTAAATTTTAAATAAATAAACACAAGAAATAGACTATTTAAGCAATCTGTTCGAACGAAAACTCAAGAAATGCTACAACTTCTTAAGGAATGTTGTAGTGAGGTAACAAACTTTCCAAGGCGAGCTAAATCTACCTATTATTTTCACATGTTCAGCTATTTAGGCACGAGTGCCAGTATATGAAAAAAGCTAAACTCGATATTGGGAAAAACGTCAGCCTCTTGTAGAACGAAAGCACTACAAATAAACGGACAATCACTCGAAGGAATTGACCTAGTCAACAAATTCAATGATTTTTTATTATCTTAGTCGATAATCACCACAGTAGAGTGAATGGAGCACTGGTGTACGAATCGAGATAATTAAATGACGTCATCTTCTTGGGATGTTTATGATGTCAGCTCTGTGTTTTGTAACCTTAACAATAGTAAAAGTCCCGATATTGATGGCATTCGATTAAAAACCGTTAAATATGTGATTGCGCCAACTGCACCTATGTTAACTCTTTTATTCAATCTATCGTTATCACAGGGTGCCTTTTCTAAGAAATGCAAATAGCACATACTTGATAAATTTGAATATGAAAATTATTTATTAAATTCAATTCCGGTTTCTGTACTTTCGATATTTTCAAAGGGTTAGAAAAAACTGATTAATTTTTTTATTAAATCAGTATTGCAAAAACAATTTCAGTCACTTAAGATTATCAGTTTCGATTCAGAAAGGGCCGATTGACTGAACATGCGCTGGTAAACGTAAAAATAAATAATTCAGGAAAATTTCCAAAATAAAACTCTACTGATAGGAATTTTTATAAATTTTTGGAAAGCCTTTGATCGGTTCAATCATAAAACACTTATTAGTGAACTTTAGCATTATGGCATTCATGAAAATGCGGCGACGTTATCAAGAAGTTGAGTTGTCGCTTTCAGAGCAATCACATCAGTTGCCAATTCTCTTATATTCGATCAAGCAATCGCATCAATATGACAATTCTCCAGTATCAGAGCGATCACATCAGTTGACAATTCTCTTATCTAAAACAACTACAAACAGGTGTACCACAAGGACGTGTGTTAGGACCTATTTCATTCAACTTACTATATATTAACAACATCATAAATATTTCACGTAATGCCCAGATACTAATGTATGCAGACGACACGAGCATATTTGCTCAAAGAAACGGACAGAAATATTATTTCATCTGAAGTGAATAATTTCCTCAAAGTGCTCATTTCGTGTGCACCAGTAAATTCCTTGAATATCTATAGCGGTTAAATAAAGGCCGTTCTATTTCGCCCTAAAAAGATTTCTGTAAAATAGGTATACCACTTAAGTTAGATACATCTACCACACGAGTTATTCCAACGGTAAAACTACTAGGGATGTTTTTAACCAAAACATGAGTTGGAACGAACACATAAAATATGTTATGTCTAAACTATCAAAAATAATAGGCCATATTTATGAACATCGTTTTTGTTTACCAAAAAGAGTCAAGTAACTTTATATATAAATCATAGTTTGGTTCACATTTAAAGTACTGCCATGTTGTATGGAGCAATACTACTAAATTCAGAGATTATACATCGCACAAAAAAGGTCTTGCGTTTAGTAGCCAATCTACAGTATAATATTCATACCAATATTTTATTCTCAACATTTAAAGTCATGCGTGTTTTTTCCTTACACCCACAGCCATTAATCTGGAAATATAATTATTGTATTTATTATAATAGCAAATCATTCCTTCACTTTGCTTCGCTGGTTGAAGACTCTTCGTTTTGTCATCCGCGTAGTCCAGAGCACTGGAGAGTGCCGCATCCCAGGACCACTCACGGATTTCAAATGTTCCAGTATCCTGTATCATCTACCATTATTGAACTCTTTAAAATATTCACATAGATAATATGTCAAATCACCAAATTAGAAAATTGTATTTTAACAACAAATAATATCTTAGTTGTGCTATTCTGTTCTATGATATCAGACACTGTATCATGCTCATCTGCCGTTCTCTTTTTCATGATTGATGATGTCATGTAACGCTTTTGCAAGCGCTGACTAAGCTGCACAAGTTTATATAAGAGGCAGGGACCTATCAAGCTACACAATGTATCATTTTTCCCTTCCTCTTTCTCCAAATTGAAGTCAATAAATGTGAATTGAAGGTTGAAAAAAAAGTCTATTGAGTTTTTTCAGAGGATGGGTCCATGCCCACCTCTTCTAGACACTTGCCTATAACGTCCAGCTATTTCTGTAAAGGTGCGGCCAGTGTCAAGAGTTCGCCTTTGCACGTCCATATGGTCACCTCATCGGCGTAAGCCAAGGCACCAAGGTTGATAATGGGGTGTAGTACCCACAAGAGCGAGGCTACCGCTATGTCTTATAGTGTTGGCGATAGCACAACTCCACGGGACCCCCAAGTCATATGTTTTCCCATGGGCCCTTCAACCCCAACGAAACCGGCCTTCAGCCTGTAGGTTTGGCTCCTCGGGAACGATTTTGCAGAGTCTAAATGCTTGCCAGTTAGTCGTTAATTGTGCAAATTGTGTACAATTGGCATGTAGATAGACACGATCGCACTCATTTTTGCAGACATTCGAGGGTAGTCTATCACATTCTTGAACAAATTAGTAATGAATGAAGAAAGAAGAAACAATGAACACTGGGACAACACAACCACATCATTCATAAGATGTGAGGAAGGTGTGGTTGTATTGTTTCAGTGTTAATTGTTCATTCTTTCTTCATCCATCACCTGAACCAACACGCTCTTCTCCCAAACAGATTAGTAAGGTTGTCGAGGGTGCTCGAGTTTGCTTTAAAGCCTAGTTGCATCGGGTGAAAGATGCCGATTTGGCCTGCGTTGTACTTGATTCATGCTAGAACCAGTCTTCCCATGAACTTGCCCGCGACAGATATGAGACGAATTGGTTTCACGTTCTTCGGGTACGTTGCAGGTAGGCCTGGCTTAGGAATCAATCAATCAATCAATCAATCAATCAATCAATCAATCAGAGAGCTTTATTTTGTTTCCCAAACAGCTTAGGGGCCTTTTTTAGGAATTAACTTGACATAATAAAACAGAACTGAACTAAACAAACCACACGGCCATCCTGACCACTATATATTTCTTAAGGGGTATAATAAAGCCCATGTCAGGGTAAAAAAAAAAAAAAAACTTGTTGTGCATGAGCATCATTTGTGTCAGCGGAGGACTGGACTCCAGATAAGATGGGTAAAAAAAAGAGTAGGCTGCTTTTGTCGCTCTGCTGTTGTTGAGATACTACTCAGCCAACATTGGGGAATCAAAAACAGA